AGAAAGAAAAAGTTAAGAGAGGAAGAAATAAAAGGAAAAATTTGATTTCTTTTTCTTTTTCTAATTTCTGTACTTTTTTTTTTCTTGTCATTAATGGCCTCATCGTATGGAAACGCGGTGACTTGGCAAGGAAAAGAAAGGTTGGGAAGAGGAAGAAGGAAAAGAAAGAAGAGAATTGGAATTTTATTTATTTCTTTTCTTCAACTTTTTTTTTTCTCACTTTTCCTTTTTAACTTTTTAAAGAAGTCTCTTTTTTTTTCCTTCACAAAGGGTACCTTGATACCTTAAGGATAAGTTGGGAAGCGAGTTGCAGTTGTCTACGGACGGTGCTTGACTCCGCATCCTGCTATCCTTTAGCAGGCTTGAAAAAGAGTTTGACTGAATGATTTTATTTTTTAATTTTCAGTTTTTCTTTTTCCCTGCTGGAGAATCCGCCCTTCACAAATCCATCGTCAAGATGGAAAGAGGAAGTTTGGTGGAGACTCGATGAGTTTTTCTGTGGATGAATGGTCGTTTGACTAACATTTAACTGAAAAAGTCATTTAGCGGTACCGACAGATCAACAGCCGTATATGTATGTATATATATGTATACGTGGTTTGATTTCGTTTGAACCGCTTCTGAAGACTTGGATTGAAAACTTTGGTATGTAGTAAAAATCATTTTTGAATGATTTTGAATCATAATCATTTGTTTTCATGAACAAGTCTGAGGAAATTATGAACCAAGCTGGCAATTTCCTTGTCGTTGGAAAATCATTTTTCCGGTGTTGTGTTTTCAGTTTTTGGAAATGACAACTAGGAAGAGTGCTAGTTTTCCAGACAACCTTTTTCCTAATTTTTATTTAGGAAAAAGGGATACAACAGGGAAATTTGAAAAGTTGGAAAATTTTTTCATGAATTTTTCAGCTTTTCAGTTTCAATCCTGATGTAACTAGTAACTTGATTTTTTCTCTTTTTCTTTTTTCTTCGGAAAGAGATTAGAGAAAAAAGATGGTCGGTGGGGGAAAAGAGTGTAAAAAAAAAGGGAAAAAAACTTTTTCTTATTTT